GAGAAAGGTCTTCCATTTTCCGTTGGTTCACCCCCCAATAGCCACTGCGGCTGGTGTGCTGCGGCCGGCGCACCACGCTGATCCAAAGCCAGGAGCCAGGTGCTTCTCCTGGTCTCCCATGCAGGTGCAGGGCCCAAGCACTTGGGCCATCCTCCACTGCCTTCCCGAGCCACAGCAGAGAGCTGGACTAGAAGAGGAGCAACCGGGACAAAATCCGGCACCCCGACCGGGACTAGAATCCGGGATGCCAGCACCACAGGCAGAGGATTATCCTACTGAGTCGTGGCACTAGCCAAATAAATAAATCTTAAAAAGCAAAAAACAGGGCTGGCACTGTGGTACAGTGGGTTACTCCTCTGCCTGCAGCACCAACATCCCATACGGGCACAGGTTCTAGTTCCAGCTGTTCCTCTTCTGATCCAGCTCTCTGCTGTGGCCTGGGAAAGCAGTACAAGATGGACCAAGCACTTGGGCCCCTGCACCCACTTGGGAGACCTGGAAGAAGCTCCTGGCTCCTGGATACCGATCAGCTCAGCTCTGGATGTTGTGACCATTTGGGGAGTGAACCAGTGGATGGAAGACCTTTCTCTTTGCCTTTCCCTCTTACTGTCTACAACTCTACCTCTCAAATAAATAAAATGCTTTATTAAAAAAAGCAAAAAACATAATACATTGCATATGCCCAAGACCCAGTGATGCAAGCAACTGCACAAAGAAAAGGCTCTGAACAGAAAAAGTACAAAACAAACCCAAACACTGCAGTGACATGGTTTATGCTGAAAAGTATGTCATGACAGGACTTGGAATTAGAGCAGAGTTCAAACTCCAAATTCCATCTTTACCTTTATATTTGTGCAAGGTTTGATAAATTTCCTAACCAATGCCTTCGTTCTCTTGCCTGCAAAGCCCCTACCTAATACTCTACCCACTGTGGCATCAAATGAGTCAGTGAGTATGAAGTGTCTGGCACAGGGTCAGGCCCACAGTACGTAGGCTACATACTCATGTCAGGTCCCTTTTCCATGCTGAGACGCTTGGATTATGAACAACAAACCCAGCACGTTAGGGGACCCTCTAGGAAAGAAGATGCCAGTGCCAAAGAATCCTGAAGAGAAAAGATGGTGGAGGAAGAGGAAGCACAGAGGAAAAGCCCCAATGCTTGCAGGCTTGAGTTTCTCTCCACAGCAGGCCATGGTAGGGGTGCTGGCAACTCTCTCCCAACCAAACTGGTCAATGGTTTGCCTCCAAAGAACGCTGTGTTCCAGCAGCAGCACCAGAAATGCAATTAGCAGAAATGAACTTGTGGGTGGAGTGGTGAGTAGGAGTGGAGCAGGGAAGAGAGACAGAACCCTGGGCCCCTGCCCAGATTGTGGGATATCAGAAATCAGGGGGTGGGTAAAGATGGCTAAGGTGGGTAAGACAGTAAAGACAAAAAAAATTTAATTCCAAAAGCTATCCTCTACTAGGAAAGGCAAGCAGAAGTCCAAGATTTTCTTTTCTTCAATCTTCCACATCTGCTAAAGAAGCTGACCTCTTCCAAACCAGGAGGCACCCACAGAAATCAACTCAGCTCTGCTGAGCCTTTAGTCCATAGAGCTGACCCTTCACGTTCTATGGAAAATAAGCACAGCTAGGCTCTTCAGTGAGATTTACCATCTATGTTTCTACTGATTAATTCACTCCACGAATATTCATAGGAACTATCATACACAGTATAGGCATCTGGAGCCGGCATTATGGGAGTTATGGGGCATGGGGGTTATGCCACTGCCTGAGACTCAGGCATCCTATATGGGCGCTGGTTTGAGACCAAGCTGCTCCACTTCTGATCCACTTCCCTGCTAATGCACCTGGGAAAGCAACAGAAGATGGACCAAGTGCTTGGGCCCCTGTACCCACGTGAGAGATCCGGAAGAAGTTAGGCTCCTGGCATTGACCTGGCACAGCCTGACTGTTGTGGCCATTTGTGGGTCAATTAGAGGATGGATGTTCTCTCTGTCTCTTCCTCTCCATCTGTAACTCTTTCAAATAAATAAACAAACAAATCTTTTAAAAAAAGAAAAAAAGGCTCTTAAAAAAATAGGCTTCTGGAGAGGCAGCTGTCAACTTGGTTGCTTATTCCTCCATCCCTCACTTGTTGCACTAGTCAGTCTATCTGCCAAATGGAGAGAACCAAGTTTATGGGAAGATGCAAGGAGACGACACACATGCCTAACACAGTGTTCAAGGAATGTAAATTATGGGGCAGACATTTAGCCTAGCGGCTAAGACACCAGCATGCCACATCAGAATGCCTGGGTTGTTCCTATCCTGGTTCCAGCCCCCAACTCCAGCTTCCTGCTAACATGTATCCTAGGAAGCAGTGATCACAGTTCAAATTGGATTCCCAATGTCTACACGGGAGACCTGGATTAAGTCCCTGGCTCCTGGCTTTACCACTCCTCACTCAGAACAATATGCGTATTTGGGGAGTAAACCAGTAGATGAGATCTTCCCCTGGTTCTCAGATTTTTTTTTTTTTTTTTTTTTAAGATTTGTTTATGGGGCCGGCTGTGGCTCAGCAGGTTAACCCCCTGGCCTGAAGCGCCGGCATCCCATATGGGCGCCGATTCGAGTCTTGTCTGCTCCACTTTCAGCTCTCTGCTATGGCCTGGGAAAGCAGCAGAGGATGGCCCAAGTCCTTGGACCCCTGCACCCACGTGGGGGACCCAGAAGAAGCTCCTGGCTTCGGATCAGCACAGCTCTGGCCGTTGCGGTCAATTGGAGAGTGAACCAATGGATGGAAGACCTCTCTCTGTCTCTACCTCTCCTCTCTTTGTGTAACTCTGACTTTCAAATAAATAAATCTTTAAAATAAAAAGATTTATTTATTTATTTCAAAGGTACAGAGACAGGGGAGAGACAGAGAGAGATCTTTCCTCTCCTGGTTCACTTCCCAGATGGCCGCCACAGCCAGAGTTGGATGGGTCCAAAGCCAGGAGCTGCTTCTGGGTCTCCCAAATACATGGGCCCTCTCCCACTGCTTTCCCAGGCACATCAGCAGAGAGCTGGGTCAGAAGTGGAGTAGCCAGAACTCAAACCACAGCCCATACGGGTGCTGGCAGACGGCAGCTTTACCCACTGTGCCACAGCGCCAGCCCCATCGGATATTTTTTTTAACTTTTACTTAATGAATATAGATTTCCAAAGTACAGCTTATGCATTACATTGGCTCCCCCCCTCCAATGACTTCCCTCCCACCCGCAACCCTCTCATCAGATATTTTAAATATAAATGATTAAGTATGCTTGCACCTTATGCTGGATACCTTCCACTTGTTCCTCCAGGTACCCTCATCCTGTTTCACCGTGTGCTGCAGCTTAGAACTGGCCTGTCTGCACTACACTAAGCTTCTCTAAGCAAGTAAACTTAAAAGCTGCATGACACCAAGTACTTGGGTCCCTGCCACCCTCAGAGAACACCAGGACTGAATTCCAGTTACCTGGCTTCAGCCTGGCCCGGCCCTGGCTGTTGCAGACATTTGGGGAGCGAATCAGCAGATGGAAGATCTCTGTCTCTTGCTTTTTAAATTAGTTTAAAAAATGTTTAAAGGTTCCCATACCTCTTTCACTTGGGTTTGGTCCATGGGAAGCCTTGGCAGACCAGAGAGAGGGAGAAAATGAGAACAGGGTTTGTATTCTTCCACTCCCTTCCTGAGCCCCACGGCCCAAAGCCCTAGGTACACAGGCTGTAAGACCCCACTACTACCAGCTCCAGAATATTCTATCCATAGTTGTTTCCCTACTGCCTAATTCAAAGTATGCAATTTAAATATGCTAATTTCTGCTGCATTCTGATATTCATGGTATAGGTAATTAAAAACAGGTGAGGGAGTTAGGAGTCCTGAATTCAAGCCCCATTTCTGCCACCAGGTGACTGCGAACCAGCCTCTTTCCTTTCCCAAGCCTTGGGTGCTGCACCTGTGAAACTAGTGGGTAAGTCTTTTTGTTTTTTTTTGTTTGTTTGTTTTGTTTTTTTTGACAGAGTGGACAGTGAGACAGGGAGAAAGGTCTTCCTTCTCCGTTGGTTCACCCCGCCTCCCCCCAGCGGCCGCTGTGGCTGGCGCACCGCGCTGATCTGAAGCCAGGAGCCAGGTGCCTCTCCTGGTCTCCCACGCGGGTGCAGGGCCCAAGGACTTGGGCCATCCTCCACAAACGGGACTAGAACCCGGTGTGCCGGCACCGCAGGCGGAGGATTAGTCTAGTGAGCCGCGGCGCCGGCCATAGACGAGAGGTTCTTTGGTGCTACAATCTCTTGCCACTTCTTGGTGTTCTGACAAGCTAAAACCCCAGAAAGTGAGGTCTGTAAAGGAACCAAGGTCCCCGGTGAAGCGTGTAAGGACGTGCAGCTCCACCAGCTAAGCGGCATCAGCTCCTGCTTACCCGGGAGTCACCTAACTCCTCTCGAGGGCCTTCCTTCGCCTTTCAGGGTCCCAGATGCCTAAAAGATCTCCACTCCAAAGAGATGGGCAGGGAAACCTAGGAAATTAAAGGCAAATTCCCTGTCCTTCCGGTAACCAATGGGCAGCCCATTGAGGTCCCTCCCCAGATTACAGCACAGCCAGGGGTCAAGCAGGGAGCGACTACACATGGACACCGATGTGTTGTAAAAGGGAAGTGACGCTGTCTCTGACAGAGCCCCCTAAACCAACACCCGTCAGAGAGATGGAATGCCCTGGGCTGCGGTCCCTGTCGCTGGACACAGAGGCTAACGACTTTCTGATGAGAGTATGAGGGAATGTCTCAGGTCTTCGCCAGCTCCTGAAGTGAGTCCATCAGAAAGCCCCGGGAGCCACTGCGCGCACACTGTCACCAGTCTGCCCCCTGCCCGCCCAGAGGTGCCTTCCCTACCGCCCCTCCCCCCGAAGAGGGGAGCAGGGGCTTCCGCTTAAACGACACGACGGGAGGGCAGGGAGGCCTGGATTGCAGGGCGGGGCGGGAATTTCTCGTTTCCTGTTTTACCTGGGGCTGGCCTCAGGTGAAAACCTCCCTCTACTAACGGCAGGCACCAATGTGTCTTTGGTGTCCTTTCCACAAGTTCGAGACCTTCGCCCGCGCCCAATCAACGCCTTCGCGATCCTCGCAAGGTCTCCAGCTTCTCTCCGGAGCCCACGAGGGCCGGCGCCGAGTCCCCGCGCGAGGGGAGCGCACAGCAGCGCCGGCCTTCGTCCCGGAGACGACTCCCAGCCGGCGGCGAGGGACTGACAGGGCCCAGGTTTGGCGCGGACACCGCGGCGTGAGGCGGCGGCCGGCCCGGGGCGGACCTCAGCCGAGGCGGCGGACGGCGCCGCACGCACGGAGCTCGCGCTGAGTTCGGCCAGGGAGCCAGGGCCATGGCAGGGTGCGAGGAGGAGGCGGAGGTGCAGCCTCGCGCCCGACGCCCACCCCGTCCCGCCACCGACTCCCAGGCGGCTCGGAGAAGGCTCCCAAGTGCCGCTTTCCGGAAGCGCTGCGCCCGCGTCGCCGTCCGCGCCTGCGCGGGAATGCGCCCGCGTCGCCGTCCGCGCCTGCGCGGGAATGCGCCCGGGAAAAGGCGGGGCCGAGCGCGACGGAGCTGCGCATGCGTAGGAGAGCCGCCGCGCGGGGGAGGTGGGCGGAGCCTGCGTGAGATACTCGGCGGCGGGTCAGGCCACGCGTGGCAGCCAGGTCCCTCCCTGACCGGAGGGCGAGTGTCCAGCGTCTTTCACGCGAACAGACCGGGACTTGAGGGACGAGGCCAGGTTCAGCCGGGTGCCCGCTTCCATGCCCTCACGGCCCAGCCCGGAGCTGCGCACTGCGGCCCCTGAGAGCCACTGGGAAGGCTGGGCCCCTCCGGCCGCTGCCATTTCCTTCGGACGAGGGAACCGTGGCCGGCACGCGAGCTGCAGCCCCACGACCCCCCAGCGGGGGATCCCAGGAGGGGCCAGGCTGGAGGCATGGGCTCCTCGCCACTACCTCCCCTGGGCGCCCCCATCCGCTGCCTCCCCTGGGTGCCCGGCTCCGGCCTCTGCAGCCAGCCCCAGGGCAGCCACCAGCTGGGTCTTCTGTTCTTCGGGGCCCCCACTGCTCAGAAACTTGAGGCGCCTCAAGGGCACCCCCCCCCCGGTCTCCATTTGAGTCCCGTTTTCCCTGACTTAGCTCACTGCCGCTGCCGGCCTTTCCCCCAGGAGCCACCCAAACCTGCCCGTCTCGCGAAGGGCCACTAAAAGTGCCACTCCCTTCCCAAGCTTGGTGACACCCTGGCGGCTCAGGATTCTCAGAAGAGCCCTGGTAGCGGGTAAACTGTTTCCTCAGGGGTAATTATGGGTTAAAATAAATTTAGTAATTTTTATGCACTAGTCACTTTCAAATACCTTCATTTGGAAATGAGCAAGAAAATCCTTTCCCAGACCATGTGCCCTGGTTTAAGATTTGGAAAAAGGGGTCGCTTCAGCCAGGTGGACTTTGCTGATGGCTCCAATCCCGGTGGCTGTGTCCCTCCCTAGATGGCTCCTGCAGGGAACAGGCCAGGCCCTGATATGCAAGATTTCAAATCTCTTGAAATTGTGGTGGGAAAACTCCATAAATTTGGAGAAAATGGAATTATAACTTTATAACTAACACTTTCATAACCACAAATAAAATCTTTCAATGTGTCAGAAAAACACTACAAACAACCTGGTTGAAAACAAACACGACTCACTGTGATGGAGTATAGTAGGGGACATTGAAATGGGTAGAAAACTGGCTTTTTGGTTTGCTTTGTCATGGGGTGAATTCAGGCAGAACTCTGTAGGCTTCTCTGGTGATTTGGTGTCCGGTTTGGATCTAGGGATATAACTACAGCTGACCCATCTACTTGACAAAATCATGGGAAAGACCAAATGTGAAATGGAGTTAACATTTTTCTTCATTGAAGTTCTTTTTTGTTCAGGAAACAATCCCCAATGTTCCAATAAAAATTACTTTTAAATGTTGAAAATTTTGTTAATAACAAGCTTTGGGGTGTTGACTGACCTTTTTAAAAATCAAGCAATTGGGGTTGGCACTGTGACTCAATGGAGTAAAGCCGTGGCCTGCTGTGCCAGCATCCCACATGGGCACCGGTTCACATCTCAGCTTTCCACTTCTGGTCCAGCTCTCTGCTAATGTGCCTGGGGAAGCAGTGGAAGATGGCTCGGGTACTTTGGCCCCTTTACCCATGTGGGAGACATGGAAGAAGCACCTGGCTGTTGGCTTTGCTCTGGCCCAGCCCTGGCTGTTATAGCCATCTGAGGAGTGAACCAGCAAATGGAAGATCTCTCTCTCTAATTCTGCTTTTCAAATAAATGAAACATCTTTCTTTAAAAAAAAAAAAAGCGCCATTCTGAATCTTCCACCTTGTGAAAGAGGGACTCTCTTGTGATCTGAAAGTCACAGTGTCACCTAACGTGACCTTAATAAGTAGCATAGCAAGAGCTTTAGGGGGAGTCATGCATGGCACAGAATTCAGACCCTGCCACTCAAACTTGCCATTATTGCAACATCTGTCAGTCTCGTCATCTGTAAGATATGAATAAAATAATATTTACTAAGTGCTCTCTGTGAGCTGGGTACTGTTTCAAGCAAATTGTATGTACTAACTCATCAAATCCGCACAACAAGCCCTTGAGGAAGCAGCTATAAGTATTTCCATGTTATGGGTAAGGAAACTGAAGTACAGAGAAGTTAAGTCATTTGCCTAAGGCTGCCTAGGATAATAGAATAATAGGTTGGCACAGAACCTGAGTATACCCTTGTTACATCAGGTTACTGTTCTGCTTTTCATGTTGGTTTTTTTTGTTGTTTCTGTTACTGCTTTTGTGTTCTTTCCAAAGAAAAATTAAGGTGGGGCCTGCATGTGGTTCAGTGGGCCAAGCCATCACTTGTGACACCAGCATCCCATATCAGAGTGCCTCTTTGAATCCTGACTTACCTGTTTCTGATGCAGCTTCCTGGTAATGCACCTGGAAGACAGCAATGATGGCCCAAGTCCTTGGGCCCCTGCCACTCATGTGGCAGACCAGGATGGAGTTCCTGGGCTCCTAACTTTGCCCTGGCTCAGCCCTGGTGGTTGCAGCCATTTGGAGAAGCAAACCAGAAGACAGAAAAATCTTTCTGTCTCTATCCCTCTCTCCGTAGCTCTGCCTTTCAAATAGATAAATAAATCTTTTAAAAAGAAAACTTAAGGTTTCCCTGGATTGGGAGACGGTTGGGCTAATGTCATAAAGACAGGATGGGCGTGAAATGTTGCCAGAACTGGTGAACTGCCCAAGGCTTTTCACCTCATAGCTCCCTGGGGGGGGAGGCCCCTGCAGTGCCAGGCCTGGTGAAACATCTTCTGAGTCTCATCTGGGTCGGCTACCAGGCGCACCTGACACATTTTATTTCCATAGCACAAACCCCCATAATCTGCAATCCACACCCTCACGGTCAACCCCAGCACAACGATGCCCCCAGGGCGCTCTATGACACAACAAAGCACAGACACCTTCACTGCCCCCCAAAGCCCACTTAGGGGGAGGGCATGGGGCAGTGAGTTCCTGAGTGTTAGGAGGCACTGCGCTAAGGGGCTTGGGCATCATTTTGCCACAAAAACACCTGCACGTTCTTTCACGTACCATCCTCACATACATGTTTTCGCACACCTTTATCTGTGTGACTGATAAGATGCTCTCCCATTCACAGCCCTTGCAAGTGAGTGGCTGTGTTTAGAAATGCCACTGATTTCGCTTCTCCATTTTCTGTTTGTTTCTCTGTTGTCTCAGCAGCCGACTTAACAGAAGAATGGTAGGGCCGGCGCCGTGGCTCAATAGGCTAACCCTCCACCTTGCGGCGCCGGCACACCGGGTTCTAGTCCCGGTCAGGGCGCCGGATTCTGTCCCGGTTGCCCCTCTTCCAGGCCAGCTCTCTGCTATGGCCAGGGAGTGCAGTGGAGGATGGCCCAGGTGCTTGGGCCCTGCACCCCATGGGAGACCAGGAAAAGCACCTGGATCCTGGCTCCTGCCATCGGATCAGCGCGGTGCGCCGGCTGCAGCGGCGGCCATTGGAGGGTGAACCAATGGCAAAGGAAGACCTTTCTCTCTGTCTCTCTCTCTCACTGTCCACTCTGCCTGTCAAAAAAAAAAAAAAAAAAAGAATTAAAAAAAAAAAAAACAGAAGAATGGTAGAGTATGAGGCTTGTGAAATAGTACAACTTTGATGTAAGAACTGTCCCATTACTTACACGTAACTTCAAAACAGACCTAACCTACTTTCCCTCTTCGAGGGGAGTTTCCATATTTCTCCCAGAAATGGTGGGAGGGCACCTGAGGTAGGTGAGTGAGCGGAAGCGGCCGTGGGAGGTCAGATTCTCAGCTGTTCAAGACCATGGACTGCAGACTCCCAACCAGAAGGCGAGCAGGTGCAGCTGTGCCCTCCTCTACAGCCCGAGGCCTACCCCCCAGCCTGAGCTGGAAGAACCCGAGACATCAGCTGCAGCCGCTGAATCCAGCCTCCTCTCTGGCGTGAATGCCTGGTGGCAGCCTGGGTGTTTAGGTCCCACGCTCCCTTTTTGGTTATTCCCAACCTCCCACTTCCTCCCCAGGGCCCAGTTTTTTCCCTTTCGAACTGTGCTCTCGGAGAGGGTATGGAATTCCTTTCAAGGTCCCCAGAGGTAAACCTCCTAGTTGAAGAAGCTGACCTCCCAGCAGGACATGGATAAGAGCAGCATGTGGTGGGAGGGGCCCTGGCCCAGGGTCACGGATGTATCTGTGAGGAGTTACAAGGAGGTTACCCTAACCATTCAGGCAGACCTTTCTGGCTTCCTCCAGCAGAGCCATCAGGTATCAGGTAGCCACACAGGTGAGTGTGACCAAAATGGGGTACCTGCCTGGCCACTGTAGGAGATGTGGGGAGGGAAACATGGAGACCCACAGGAGCCGAGGGGCTAGGGAGAGGGTCACAGGACAGCAGACCTTGGTTTCAGGACCAGCTAAGGGAGGGAACCATCTTCAGTGTCTGGAAGGCAGGGAGCAGGCATCCAAAACTAGGGCGAGCACTTCCTGGATTCTGGTCTATCCCCAAGAAACTTACAAAGTGGTCCCTCTGCCAGCTCGAAGGACGATGGAAAGTCACCTGGTTGGAGAGGACCAGAAAGCACAGGCGTCTGAGAGAGGCTGGAACGTTATTGAGACTCCCTCCCTGAAGAAGGCAGAACCAGTGGGCACCGGGAAGCTTCAGCCGCTGTCCAGGCGAAATCCTTATGCATAATCCTTTCTCTTGGGGCAATCTCTGGATCTAAGTTCCCCCCAGTTCCCAGCCCCAGGTTTCTGCTTGAAAGCTACCTCCATATCACTGGGCAGAAAAAACAGGCTCCTAATACTTGTGCCAACTGAGTGACACACCAGGGGGCAGCAGGTCAAAGTGTGGGAAGAACAGAGCTGAGAGAAGGCACAAGAAAAGGAAACTAGAGAAAAGAAGCACCCCGGGGCGGGGGGACACTGATAATACACCCCCCCCCCATAATATCCATACTTACAAGTCTGTCAGCTTCGTTCTACCTGCTCTCCCCACAGCAGCGATGACATCAACAGCTACAGGGCCCATGCAGTTCTGCATTTTTATTCCCCTGGCTGCACAGAGAAAAACAAGACGTGCCAGAAGCAGCTCCTGGGCGTGGAGGAGGGCGGGAGGGGCAGACTCCTGGGGGCAAATGAGGGAGAACGAGGCAAAGGCTTTTTTGTTTTTTAATGAGAAGAAAAGTCCAAGACAGATTCCAGCTCATTCCCAGGTCATTAGGCTCCTTGGATGCTCCTTTTAGAACTTGCTTTTTTTTTTTTTTTTTTTTTTTTCCGGGTTGACTTGCTCCTAGGAAACAAGTCCTGGAGACTTGGAGCCGCTGGTTTTCCTGGGGGAGGTTCCAGGCGCTCCACGAAGCCAAAAGCAGCGGCCTCCCTCGCAGCATGCACCAGACCGTTACCCTTCTGAGAAAAGGAATTCCTAAGCTGTGGCTCTGGGCGGCCCTCATCTGCCTGCCTCGCTTCCACTGCCCAATCCCTGGAGCGCCTATCGCTGTGCCCTCCCTTTCACTTTCCCTCTGGTCCAGAATGACCTCCTGGTGCCGGTGGATCCTGCTCCTGCTTGCTCCCAAGAGAACCCCTCCAGGCAGCCAAGCTTGGGCCATCTCCTAGACTGCACAGACCACTCCCCACGCACCTTTCACCAAGAGGCTGCTGCTCCCCTACCTGTCCCCTCTGCCCAGTCTGAGGTGGCAGCGCAGGCTGGCCATGGAGGACTCATGCGGGTTCCTCCTCTCTGCCCTCGAGTGGATGTCGCCTCCCTAGCCTCTCTCAGACCATGTACTCACAGGCACACCCGGCGGTATCTGAAGGGCCTGGCTTGCTGTGGTTCGTTCACGGACGTCTGCACGGAGTGCAGACAAGAAGCCTGGCTGTGCCCAGAACCACGGGGCTGGTGCTGGTTCTGACTCTCCTGGGAGATTCCTCCACGTGTTAAGTTTTGGTGCATCAGGGAATGGAGAAGAAAGGAAAGGAAGAGCCGTGGTAACGGAAACCGGGAAGGAACTACCCCTCTGCCAGGCGTTCCCACAGAGGAGTTGTGGAAACAGTCTCCTCTTCAATTCGGGACGTGCTGGCTGCCCAGAGACGCCCCCCGTGCCGAGGAGCAGGATCTCTGTTGTCTGCTCTGAAACCCAACGCCTTGGGATCTGAGTTTTCCAGGACATGCATTAGACAAAGACACACTGCAAACCAATTAACCCTCTGAGCCCTTCTACTTCCTCACTCCAGTCACCTCCGAGGGGAAAGTTCCCCAAATCCGCTGACCACTCACTCGCCTGCCGGCTGGGGCCCATACAGAACGGGCTGCCCAGCCAGCTTAGACAATGAAGTCAGAGAAAGGACCTTGGGGAAGGCAGATCCTTGTCCTAACCCGGGACCTTTGTTCTCACCTGGCACTTTGGTGCCACCACCACCCCACCCCTTGGGGAACCAGAAACAGGACCCAGGGGACAGGCTCAAAACCGAGCCCGATTCAGACCCCCAAGACGCACCCCTGTTGAAAGCAGTGCAAGCTCAGGAGGGGCCAGGGGCTGTGTGTGTGGAAGGAAGCGATGCGGACCTGAGCGCTGGCTATCGCTCGGGTCCTCACTACCTGCCCAGCATCCAGGGAAAAGCATGTAGCTTATTTGCTCCTCGGTGATTCAGAAGTGTACACGAGAACTTAGCTGCTCTCTGTCCCTCCAAGAGACCAAGGGAGGACCCAGGACAAGCAGAGGGAGCCTGACTTGCGTGTCAGGCCTCCTAAGTGAAGCCACAAGACAAGCACACTATTATTCACAGTTTCCACTCTCCCCCCAGACCCGCCACACCCCACCACTGGCCTGAAGGAACTCCCACACCTCCAGTGCACGACGATTCTTGCAGGAATCAGAGGGTTAATAAACCAGGACTTCTCAGACAGGACACAAGCTCATTCACCCACAGAAACTGAGAACAGCTACACCACAATCTAGTGCTTCTTGTAGCGATTCTTGGGGGTTTCGCCACACCCTGTTTTGTCACAGTTGAGAGCACCTGGATTCTTCCCGAGCCCGAGGCTCCCCAGGAGGCTGGGCAGCTCCTGGGTGATGGCCCGCTCGATCTTCTCCAGGAAGCAACCTCCCATGTAGGAGCACTGCTGGGAGAGGAGTTTGAAACTGGAAATGGGATTGATGCCAAAGAAGTCCTTATAGGCCTCGCGGTTGGGAAGGTCAAATTTGCTGACATTGGTCTTTGCCAGGATGGTCTTGAAGATGTAGAATTTATCAGGATCTTCCACAATGTCCTTAAAGACCAGCTCCCCATCACTGAAGAAGGTCATTTTGTCCTTGTAAGTCTGCAGGTAGCGGTCAACCAAGAGGGCGTGAATGCGCACCCGGATGGCGTGCTGGCGGATGAAAGCAATCTTGTTCTCCAACCTGTTCTCAATCACCTGGTTCAGGTCTTCCAGGAGGGAGATCTCTTCTCTGAGAAACAGCTCACGGTGGGTGTCAGGCTTATACTCCTGTGGCCAGAAGGAGCTGACGTAAACCCTCGGGGGCTCCGTGACGTTGATGAGAGGGGCCAAGCTCCAAAAGAGAGCCCCGTAAACCCGCATCAGCATCTGTGTGGCCAGGTTGTCCGCCTTGTTCAGGATGATCCTTATCTGGGATTCGCGCCCCTTCAGCTGACGGAAGAGGGTCTCCAGCTCCAGGCCCACGTCCAGCTTGGTGGGGTCGAAGACGACAAAGATGAGGTCAGCTCTGTCGATGAACCACTGGCACACGTCGTTGAAAGGGTAGCCTTCGGGGGACGGGAAGGAGAAGTCAAGCTGAGCCTCGCTCAGAGACCCTCGCACCTTCTTTCAGAGCCAAACCATCCCACAGGCGGAAACGAGTCACAGCACTGGGGATTTTCTGGGTTTATGAAGAGTACTGAAGACTCAATCACATATCTCCTGCCCCTCGCCAGCCTTTTAACCAAGAACAGCCTGATCCTTGCTCTAATCTACAGTGAATTCCAGATCTCCAGTGAAGCAAAATACATGTTCAAAATGGAGATTTTCCTCCTGTCTAAATAAATAAATGAGTGAATGAGTGAATACAAAAAATAAAAAGACCTGGGGCAATGGCAACAATGCTGAAAGACAGAGGTCAGAGACTTGGAAGAACAGAAAGGGAAGGATTATTTGGGGGAAGAAATGAGAGTCCGGGGCCAGCGCTGTGGCACAGCAGGACCCAGCTGCCCACCTTCCCATCCAGCATCCAGCTAACGTGCCTGGGAAGGCAGCAGAAAACGGTCCAAGTACTTGGGCCTCTGCACCCATGTATGAGATCAAGATGGAGTTTCAGGCTCCTGGCTTTTGCCTCACCCAGGCCTGGCCACTGCAGCTAGCTGGGGAGTGAACCAGCGGATAAAAGATTCCATTTCTCCTTCTCTCTGTCACTCTGCCTTCAAATACATAAATCTTAAAAAAAAAAAAAAAAGAAAAGAAAAGAAAAGAAACGGGGCCTCATGTTAGCAAAAACTGGGTGAGAATTTGGGCTTTTCTACTGATCTGCCAAGTATTCAATGTTTCTAAACTCCAGCATTTTCACTACCAAAGACAAGAACAATGACCTAAACTGATACAAACATTACTGTGTTGCTAAGCATTTAGGAGAGCACAACTAAAACTGTCAGTCATACAGCAGGGACTCATTATTTCCAAATACCTTTAGGGCCGGTGTTGTGGCTTAGCAGTAAAGCCACCACCTGCAGTGCCAGCATCCCATATGGGCGCTGGTTCGAGTCCCAGCTGTTCCACTGCCAATCCAGCTCTCTGCTATGGTTAGGAAAGCAGTAAAAGACGGCCTAAGTCCTTGGGCCCCTGCACCCATGTGGGAGAAGCAGCTCCTGGCTCCTGGCTTCAGATCAGTGCAGTCCCAGCCATTGTGGCCATCTAGGGAGAGAACCAGTGGATGGGAAACTTCTCTCTCTCTCTCTCTCTCTCTCTCTCTCTGCCTCTGCCTCTCTGTAACTCTGCCTTTCAAATAAATAAATAAATCTTTTAAAAAATGAAATTCCTTTAACTTCTTATCCCTTCTGTTTTCTTTTTTTTTAAGGATTTATTTATTTACTTGAAAGTCAGAGTTACACAGAGAGAGGAGAAGCAGAGAGAGAGAGAGAGAGAGGTCTTCCATCTGATGGTTCACTCCCCAGTTGGTCACAACAGCCGGAACTGCGCCGTTCCGAAACCAGGAGCCAGGAGCTTCTTGTGGGTCTCCCACATGGGTGCAGGGGCCAAGGACTTGGGCCATCTTCTACTGCTTTCCCAGGCCATAGCAGAGAGCTGGATCATAAGTGGAGCAGCCAGGTCTTGAACCGGCACCCATATGGAATGCCAGCGCTTCAAGCCAGGGTGTTAACCCGCTGAGCCACAGCGCCGGCCCCATCCCTTCTGTTTTCTTATTTACAATGTGAGGAGATACGGAATACCTGTCATGAAACACTCAGATTTTTTTTTACAATGTCCAATTACTGATGCCTAAAATCATCCAATGTAAAATAAGGTCAACTTACTATTATATTTATTAATGATTATTAATGATAATGATTGCTTAGGTAGAGCCAAAATGGCATTTTCACCATGACCAGGCCACCTGGTCAAATGCACCTCCGCCTGCCGTGCTTGGGACTCATCTCTGCAGGTAGCTTGCACATGGCAGCTCTCAGTGGCCTATGTCACAGCCTCGTGCCTTCCAGGCCCGAAGTGGCCTCCCCTGCCACCTGCAGGCAAGTAGGCCTTGCCCTACTTAGGTAGAAGTACCCCACTTAGGTACCTCTGATGAAGCAGAAACAGGAACAGAAGAGTTCAATACAGCAAGCCCAAGAGCCTCAGACCCAATTCAGCCCGTTGTCAAATACACCTGGCCTGGGATCCAGCTAGCCCAGGACAGCCTGGCTCCCAAAGACAACTCTGCCCCAGCTTGTACCTCCAGGAGCCGCCACAGAGAAGACTGGTCCCTGCCCCGGGGAAACGCCGATCATGGCCAAGCCAAACCCAGCCATGGGAAGTGGAAAGACGAAGTACTCCAAAACCCAGGGGTACCCCGGTGAAAACGAGGAGCGGGTGCAGGTAAAGGTTGCGTGTCCTGGTGTTGGACAACACCAGCCACGTTTCCTCTCCCCTGCCCGCCTACACCCACTGTCAAAAACAGTTTCCTAAGGCAGAGCTCGCGCTGTCCAGAAACGAGAGCTAAATTACCTCTTTCTTGCTGCTTGCGGTTCTCAATGATGCCTGGTGTATCCACAAAAGTGACACGCTCCAGAAGCTTGTGGGGAACCTCGATGCCAATCAGCTTCTCCAGGAAGTTCTGGCCAAACTTCTCGAGGGGTGAGAAGGAGCGGGCGCTGTCGGCAGCCATGACGATGCCCTCTATGGTTTTCAGCTTGGGTCCGTGCATGAGGACCGTGAACTCGGAGGTGGTGGGCTCGGCGCCTGCACACAGGGTGAGAACCGGGGGAGCACAGTGATCTCTGGAGCAGACCTACAGCTAGTGTGGGTGAGGAGGGGCGTCTCGGGGAGGGTTTTGTCACAATCATAGGATGTGTTTGCTTAGATGGTAGCTTCTTGTTAATTGTAACACAAGATTCGCGATTTTAGCCAATTTTAAGTGCACGGTTCTGGGGCACTAAGTGCGTTCACACTGTTGTGCAGCCATCAGCACCGTCTACCCTGCACGTGTTCCTGCAATGAAACTGCCTGCATTCACAGCAGCTCCCCAGGGCCCCCGCCCAGCCCCTGGAAGCCAGGGTTCTACGTTCTGTCTCCTCGAGCTTGTCCGCTGCAAGTACCTCAGCCAGCAGAATCACACAGCCCTTGTCCTTTTGTGTCTGGCTTGTTTCACTCAGCACAGTGCCTTCAAGGTCTGTCCACGTGCAGCCTGGCTTAGAGCCTGACCACCTAATGTGTGCTGACAGCCGGGGGCCCTTCCTTTCCGAGGCTGTCTGGTACCTCGCTATATAGGTAGCCCACGTTCTGGTTATCCATCCATCCACTGCCGGACATCGGGTTGTCTCCATTTTTTGGCCGTTGTGAATAATGCTAGTCTGGATACTGGTGTAACTGCCAGTTTGTTTTGTTTTGCTTTTCACAACCACAGTGAAGACATACAAAAATATTTTATTTTTCATAGCACTTTTACCTACACACAAAAATCTATTACCTGTATAGAGCTGGTATCGAGTGTTTTCCAACCCAAGGAGGTAGTTTATCATGGTGGATTTACCAACACTCCACGGTCCCAGGAATAGCACCATAGGCTTGGAAGTAATTTCCCCATCTGTGGATAACAGGAGTTAGAAACAGAAGTAAACTAACAATAGAGAATAGCAGTGCTGTTCTCCAAAGCACCCTGTATCCCATCAACCCTCATCCGGCTGAGTTGGGGCATTCTACATGGATCAGACAGTGTATATGGCACTCAGTGACACTTGCTACAGGAGTTAAGATGCCATATGGGATGTCCATATCCCATATCTGAGTTCCAGTTCCGCTTCTAATTCCAGCTTCCTTCTGGTGTGGACCCTGAAAAGCAGAGAAGATGATGGCTCAAGTGGTTGGGTTCCTGCCACCTACGTGGGAGATTCAGATTGACTTCCTGGCTCCTGGTTGTTATGGACCTTTGGGGAAGAAACAGAGGATGAGGATTTCTGTCTTTGCCTTTCAAATAAACAATAAAAGTAAATAAATAAAAATTAAATCAAAAAATGGCAGAAGTCATTGTTTTGCCCTTGCCCATACCCATGGCCCAGCTGCCTGCATCAGCAGACCTAAGTGAATTCTCTGAACACGGAACCAGGGCTCATGTGGGTGAGGTCTCCTGGCGCCATCAGAAGGAGGGGATGAGGGGAGGACAGAGCTTCCACACGGAGAGAAGTTAACTCTGCTATCCAGCCTGATAGCCCAGAAGACAGGATTTGTGTGAAGTTCACGCAGCTTTCCAGTCTAAACTCAGGCCCCACCTGTCCCCAGCCTCTGCAGCTCTAGCCGTGGCTCCTAAAACCCTCACCTCAGGCTCAGTCCAACCCAGCTTCTAGGATCACTTGAAAATATTGGCCTCCTGGGGCCGGCCGTGTGGACAGTGCGTCAAACCACAGCCTGTGATGTTAGCATCCCATATCAGAGTGCCAGTTCAAGTCCCGGCTGCTCTACCTCCGATGCAGCTCTCTGCTCATGAGCCTGAGAGGGAACAGGAAGAAGGCCCAGTTACTTAGACCCATGCCACCCACATGGGAGACCCAGATGGACTTCTTGGTTTTTTGCTTCGGCCTGACCTAGCCCCAACATTTGCAACCATTTGGGGATGGTTGAACCAACAGATAAAAGATCTTTTTCTCTTTGTTTCTCCCTATCTTTCTGTGTCACTCTGCCTTTCAAATAAATAAAATAAATCTTTTTTAAAAAATTAGCCTCCAAGGGACCAGTGCTGTGGTGCAGTAGGCTAAGCCTCTGCCTGCAGTACCAGCATCCCACATGGGCACTGGTTCAAGTCCCAGCTGCTCCTTTTCCGATCCAGCTCTCTGCTATGGCCTGGGAAAGCAAAAGATGGCCCAAGTCCTTGGGCTCCTGCACCCATGTGGGAGACCTGGAAGAAGCTCCTGGCCCCAGGCTTTAGCCTGGTGCAGCTCTGGCCATTGTAGCCACTCGGGGAATAAACCAGCAGATAGACAACCTCTCTCTCTGTCTCTCCCTCTGTCTGTCTGTAACACTGCCTTTCAAATAAATAAAATATTTTTTTAAAAAATTAGCCTCCAAAGTCTGTGATAACTTTGCCAGTGTCCAAGACTAAACACTGAACTGGGGATCCTTGGGTTCCTGGGCCTGTGTCCAGAGGACTCCAGAGGTCATGCTGGGGAGAATGCCAGCAAGGGTCATTCCAAAGTTGGGATCCCTAGTAAAGAAAAGCAGAATTCTCTGGTGCTTTCAAAACTAGGGGACAGGGAGGGCTGGGCGGGAGGCTTTCAACACAGGCTGCAGTCAGTGTCACTGCCGATTCACAGGCCTGGGCCCTCCTGCCCCCCCCCCCCCCCAGCTCCTCTCTGGACTGAGGTTCGGAGGATCAGCTCTGCACAGTGGAGCACTAAATTCCCATGACCTCTTCATCTCACCAAGCCTGGGAGACAGCCCTCAAAACAGGTGGCCCCCAGCACGGCATTTCGTGCAGCGGCTTAAGTTACTGCTTAGGACACAGGCACCCCCTATTTGAGTGCCTGGTTCAAGTCTCAGCTACACTGTTTCTGATCCAGCTTCCTGCTAATGCATTGTTGCTAGGAGGCAACAAATGGAGTTCTGGGCTCCTGGCTTCAGCATGGCCCAGTCCTGGCTGTTATGGGCATTTGGGGAGTGAACCAGTAGGTGGAAGATACCTCTCTCTCCCACTCTGCACTTCAAATAAAATAAAAATAAATAAATAAGATTTAAAAAGAAAAGCAAAGGCCCTAATTTTTTGTTTTCATTAATTTCTTATTTAATGTCTTGATTCATAAATCAGTAGTATAATAAAGTAACAGTGAAAGGCCTCCCATCTCTGCCTGCAACCTGCCTTGACCATAACCAGAAAAAGGTAACACTGCTAATTTCCTACATGTCCTGTCAGATATTCCGACACACATTTAAGCAGTAGCCACAGAAACCCACACTCCCCAACTTTTACAGGGCACGGATATGATACACCTCCGGCCGCATACCTTAGTTGTGATGCACTGGTTCTCTCTCTGGGGTGACTTTCTTTACATCCTAGAGGACCAAGCTGCTGCCTCGTAAATAGCAGGTGCACCTCTATTACCTCCAAGGGCTGAAATGGCCCTAGTCCTGCCCTGCCCAGAAACACACGGGAGCCGCTCCCGTCTCCGTGGATGTCAGCTCCTGACTTGACAGCAGGAAGGGAGAGGATGGCTGAGAAAGCAGCAGGAGGTTCCAGTCAGAGCCACCGGGATCTCACAGAAAGTGGCTTCACCTGCTTTCTGGACGCGGGACCCACAGCACGGAAGACAAACCACAAACTGGGCCTCCCTGGGCGGCTGCCGCCCCAGCTCTCTACAGCAGGGGGCAGCGCGGGCTTGTGCAGGCGAGATCGCACCGGGAGCTGGCGGGAGACTAGGGACCAGGGCCAAGTGCAGAAAGTTGAGACCAGGCGCTGGGAAGCCCTGGGGCAGCCGGCAGCCTGCTTGCGCTGTCAGGGCTGCGGTTTCCTATCTGGACCATGCCCTTGGTCTTGAGCCGGGAGAGAAGGCGGGTAGCGAGGGCGGAGCAGAGCCGCTGGAGGTTGTGGAACCTCCACCACCGTGTGTGTCCTCTCTGGAGCCCGGAGAGAACTGGCGCTGAGGGGCGGGGCTTCCCTGGGAGGAGAAACAGGAAGCACAGTCCTAGGTCCCGCTGTGTGACCGGGAAGCCTGCACTTCTCTGGGCACCAGGCTGCGCTTCTGTCGGGTGGGACAAATATGAGAAAACTTCAAAACATTCATGGAAAAATCCACGTTATAGAAAAACTATGCATGGTTTTATATTTCCTGGCACAGAAATAAACTTGTCTTGTAATTTCATCTTCCTTGACCTGTTGGAAGTCCCCTCTATGCATAACCTGGGACACTGCTACTCACTTGTCGAAACAGAATCAAATGAGATCATGTAGAAATAGCCAATTAACATGGGAAGAGATCTGCCATACCACTACAATCAAAACAACCTGGATACCACTGACAGTGTTTCCACAGTGGCGTAACAGTAAAAAGTGGCACTCCCCTCTTTAACAGTAGGAGCTCTCGCCCACTGTTACTGTGAGCACAACTGTATATAGTCTAAGGTAATTCAGCAGCAACTATCAAAACGTTTAATTCCAATGTTCCATTTTTAAGAATTTCTCTACAAATATACTTGCATGAGACACATATTGATTATAGTAGTGTTTGGGTCATTTTTAAAAATGGAAAATGCCCCATTATCCATCAGCCAGGGACTAGTTATACAGAGCACGGTGGATTCGTGCAAGATAGGGGCAGGCAGTAACAGATGAATAGGGTGGTTCTACCCACACATGTGCACATAGAAACACACAGGCACGTGGACATAGGCACATGCACACACATGTACACATACATATACATGTGCAGACACGCACACTCAACATATCCCCATGCATGCAGATGCACACAGCACCACATCTTTGAGAAAGGAAGACATACTCTTGTATGCTCACACACGCAGAGGAAATGCCTGCAAGTATTTACAAGCAGTAGCAACAGTGGGTGCCTCTGGGAGTCAAAATAGAGAAGTTGGAAATCAAGAAGAATTTTCACTCTTCACGTATGAGGAGATCTTCAAAAATTCCATGCTGTCTCCCTCTCTCTCTGCCTTTCAAATAACGCTTTTAAAAAAAATTCTATGGAAAATGTACATTATAGGAAAAGTATACAAGAATTTCAAAAACTTTTGCACCAAAATAAACTTATCTTTTAATATAATTTTCCATGAACCTTCCAAAGTATCCTCATATACTATTTTGCAGTATTCATAAAATTAATAACAAGTATTTCTTGTTTTATTAATTTGAAAACCAATTTTTAAGAGAATCCAGGCACAAGAGAAGCCATCCAGGAAGGGTGATAGGAGGAGAGGAGGAATCCAAGCCAATCGGGGGGTTCAGACCTGAGCCATCAGGGAGTGGGCCTTGTGGGAGCTGAGACCAGAGCCGGCCCTCCTGAGGCCCAAATGCTTAGACATGAACGCTTCCTGCAAGGCCCTTGCAGTGCCAAGTGCTCCTCCGTGACAGGGGCAGCTCACAGGCCCGAGGCTGCTGCCCCATCTGACTCCTTGGGAGAGCTCAGCCTCGCACACCTGTGTGGGCAACGGGGGAGTCCCAGTGGGTCAGAGATGTGACCCCAACCCCGGCCAAGGCTGTACCTGTGATCTCGTGCTGCCGCAGCTCATTGTATTTGTAAGACTGCTCCAAGGGTTTGATGGATGAGTGGTAGATCTTTCGAAGCCGCTGCAGTACCGCTGGGGACAGAGAGGTGCGGGGGAGAGCATCAGGCAGGGTGCACCCCAGGCAGCCCCTCCACCCCTGCCTGATAGGAGCTGGGGCCCTCGGAAGCCCAGCAACTCCACTACACATTCACAGTGTGGAAGAAACTGGTGCACAGCCCGACCCTCAAAACTCCCCAGACCAAGGCGGGTGTTTAGCCTGACAGTCAAGAGGCCCATGTCCCACATCAGAGTGCTGGGGTTCAAGTCCCAGCTCTGGCTTCTGACTCCAGCTTCCTGCTAATGCAGACCACGGGAGGCAGCAGGTGATGGCTCAAGTACTTGCATTCCCACCCAGGACGCGGAGTCTCTGACTGAGTTCCTGGCTCCTGGCTTCAGCTCTACCATTTGAGGGCTTTTGGAGAGTGAACCAGCATATGACAGCTGTCTGTCTGTCTCTTTTTCCCTCCCTCCATCTTCCTATCTCTCAAATAAACAACGAAATGAATAAATAAATTTTTTAAATTCCTGAAAACAACACACTCTCTTACCCCTGGCCTCCCTCCAACCTGCAAAGCCTCCTGAGCTTTTTTAAACACCTCGCTCCTCCCTTCCTCCCACCTCAGCAGTACATCTGAAGACACTGTCTAAGCCCACAGCCCACCTGAAGACCCTTTCTCTGGGAGATGTGAATTCTACCTCTTTCTCTCTGCTGCCCACTGTGTGTGCTGCCTCAGGCCCAGGGGCCAGGGAGCCAGCAGGCCCATAGGACAGCCATCCTGCCCCTTGTCCCTCACTGTATCCCAGGTACTCCTGGGAGAGAGCAGCCCCAGGGCAAAGCTGGAAGCACTGGGGGGCGAGGGGTGTTGGTACACAGGCTGGCTGGGCTCTACCTCCCACTGCTGCTCTCTAGCCAAGTGACCCAAGCTCTCTTGGCCTTGCTCTGAGGTCTCGTTATCTCATCAGTTAAGAGGAGACAAACCCAGTTGAAATTCTTGGATACGAGAGGGCTTTATAGTCTTAAAATCAAAGTGGGAGGGTGGATGAATTTGTCTTTTAAAAAGATTTATGGGGGCCAGCACCGCGGCTCACTAGGCTAATCCTCCGCCTGCGGCGCCGGTACTCTGGGTTCTAGTCCCAGTTGGGGTGCCGGTTCTGTCCCGGTTTCTCCTCTTCCAGGCCAGCTCTCTGCTGTGGCCCGGGAAGGCAGTGGAGGATGGCCCAAGTGCTTGGGCCCTGCACCCACATGGGAGGGCAGCAGGAAGCACCTGGCTCCTGGCTTTGGATCGGCGCAGCGCCGACCATAGCAGCCACTTGGGGGGTGAAACAACGGAAGGAAGACCTTTCTCTCTGTCTCTCTCTCTCACTGTCTAACTCTGCCTGTCAAAAAATATAAATAAATAAATAAATAAATAAATAATAAATAAAAAGATTTATGGGAGTGCCGGCACTGTGGTGTAGTGGGTAAAGTCGTTGCCTGCAGTGCCAGCATCCCATATGGGCGACTGTTTGAGTCCTGGCTGCTCCACTTCTGATCCAGCTCTCTGCTATGGCCTGGGAAAGCAGAAGATGGCCCAAGTCCTTGGGCCCCTGCACCCATGTGGGAGACCCGGAAGAAGCTCCTGGCTCCTGGCTTCAGATCAGCATAGCTCAGGCTGTTGCGGCCAACTGGGGAGTGAACCAGCAGGTGGAAGACCTCTCTCTCTGCCTTCTCTCTCTATGTAACTCTCTCTGTGCAAGTTTGACTTTCAAATAAATAAATAAATCTTTAAAAAAAAAGATTTATGGGACCAGTGTTATGGTGTAGTTGGCTAAAGCTGTCGCCTGCAGTGCTGACATCCCATATCGGCACTGGTTCAAGCCCCAGCTGCTCCACTTCCAATCCAGCTCCCTGCTAATGCACTTTGGAAAGCAGCGGAAGATGGGTTAAGTACTTGATGCTGCACCCACATGGGAGACCTTGATGAATCTCCTGACTCCTGGCTTCTGCCTGGCCCAGCCCTGGCTATTGCAGCCATCTGGGGAATGAACCAGCAGATGGAAGATCTCTCTGTCTCTGTCTGTCTGTCTGTCTATCCCTCTCTGTGTGTGTGTGTCACTCTGCCTTTCAAATAAAATTTTAAAAAATAGGGAGAGACAGAGAAAGGGGTGTTTTCCATTCTGGTTCACGCCCTGTGGAGGTCAACAGGAAGTCCCTGGTGAAAAATCCCCAGCAATAAGGAGCTCAGAGCCTCTGCGAAGCCCCTGGCCAGAAGCATCTGCCTCAGTTAGATGCAGATTACAATCCATGGTACTCCAGTTGTCAGTTTCCTGCTGGCCTGGCTGCCCGCTGCTGCCTTGCAGTGTGTTTTAATAAAGCTAACTCTGCTCACGCCTCTCTGTATTCTACTCTGGTAAATTCTTCTCAGTGCCCACAACACTGGCCTCAGTTGGTGGCTTCCTGTGACACTCCCCAAATGGTCTCAACAGCCAAGGCTGGGCGAGGTCAAAGCCAGGAGCCAGGAACTCCATCCTGGTCTCTCACGTGGGTGGCAGGAGCCCAAGCACCTGGACCATCTTACACTGCCTTCTCTGGCACGTCACCAGGAAGCTGGATTGAAAGCAAAGCAGCCAGGACTCCATGTGGGATGCCAGCATCATTGGGAGCAGTAGCTTAGCCGCTGTACCACACACCAGTCCCAGAGGCAGTAAATTCTTACTAGCCACCCACTCCTGCCACAGTGCACAGGCTGGCATATCCCACAGCCTGTGGCGCCAGAATCACCCTCCATGTTCAACATTACCACACTGGCTGGGACCAACATGTCCCCCTCTCTGCCAATCTGGAGCCTCCTCTAGCTTGGTCCCTGCTCACAAAGCCAACTCCACACAGTCCCCAGTCATGGGTGTCCTGTTCCCTGGGGTCCTTGCCGATCTACAGCCCACTTGTGGCCTGGCTTTCAGTCACCTCTGAAGCTCTGCCTGGCCTCCAGCCCTGCTCCAGCCCCAATCCTGGTCCAGCCCTGTCCCACGCCTCTGGTTACCAGAGAAGTCATCAGTCGGCTTGTCCTCATTCAGCATCAGGGTTTTCTCGATGTGGGAGCGGTCCCTCATTGGGACTTCTTCACTCACATCTTCCGTCTCTTCTGCAGAGAAAAGCAGAAAACAGGTTAGCAGACAGCTGAGCTCCAGGCCCCTTGGAAGGTGCACCAGGCCTGCAGCCTTCAGCGGGTGCTGAGCTGAGTTCTGCCTTTAGGATGGAATGTGGAGACCCGGACTCTCCTTCTAGGCTCGTGATCCACTTTATTCAAGCAACGACCACTTACTGAGCATCTACCATGTGTCAAGCATCACAGCAGAAAGACAGAGGAGTCCAAGACGGCACAGAACCTGCCCTCGGGGAGCTTCCTACAGCCTCGTGGCCAGAGAGCTGAGAAAGTCTCTACAAGAAAGTCATGCAATCATGTGTCACTTGGCCATGAGGACGCATCCTGAGAAGCGCGTCGTCAGACCATTTCCTCGTTGTGTGGACACAAACCTCCACGGTCTGGCCCTCTGAACATCTAGGCTCCACGTACAGTCCATGCTCCTAGACGCTGTACTCAACACTGTAGGCAACTTGACACAATGCTAGGTGTTTGTGCCTCCAAACAGAAAAGACGCAGCAAAAACACTAAGCTACAGAAATGTTCTAGCTCCACTCACAGATGTGGTCCATCAGTGACCGAAACATCCTCGTGCTGCTGTGCCCATAATTACACACAGCGAAGTAGCTATGGAAGGAAACATTCCAGAAGGCGAGAGGGCCTAAGATGTGTGTCTAGACAGGTCCACCAGGGGGACTGCACAGTTAGTCAGGTAAAGGACGGAGGGGAGCCCTCAGTGAAAGCCCCCAGACAGGAAGCAGGAAGCAGGGGAGAGCTGGCAGCAGGGAGCAAGGGAGCTGAAGAGGTCCACAGGGCTGAGCAGGCAGCCGCAAGGGCCACCCAAGGGGTTTGTAATTTATCCCAAGGCAAAGGTGGCCTCAGTGGGCATTTCACAGGATCATACTGGCTATATGGAGCCAGGAGGAGCAGGTGCAGGGGTCAACTGTTCTCCCAACCAAGCAAACAAGAGGTGCCTGTGCCTGCCACGACTCCAGGAAAGGGGCTGCTCAAGTCCCTGGGCCTCCACAGCCACAGCTGTTTCTCCCCAGGCCACCTGCACAGAGGCTCTTAGGAGATTAGAAGATGGACCCAGGCCTGCAGGGCAGAAGGAGGCCAGTTCCCAGGGAATGAAGACTCAATAACACCATATGGGCGACAGCTCAGGAGGCCAAACCCAGGCAGTCCCTGACCTCAAAGCCAGAAGAGGGAGAGCAGGAGAGGAGCAGCTTGCAGGTTGCAGCCCCGCCCCTCCCTTTATAGAGGCTGCAAGCTCTTGACCAGTGGTTTGTAAGTTAAACTCTGCCCGGAAACCCACCGAGAAGCCTTCTGGGAAAGCAAAGACCTGGCCCCACCCACCCTGAAAGCCCAGCTTTTGGTTGGTCTAAGCTACTGAGCGGATGTGGCCTACAGGGTCCTGACCCCAGCATCAGATCAGTGTCTGTGGCCCTGCCCTCCCACTCCTCTCCTGTTCCCCAGCCCTTTGAGGATGGCCGCTGCTGCTTCAGGTGGCCATTTGGAGGACACAGTGCATCCGAGTTCTCCACGCCTCCTATGGCTGTGTCTTCAAAGGGAGGCCCAGGAATCAGCCCACCAAGTGGTCACCTGCACAGTTTGCAGCCCAACTGTACCAGCTCCCTGCAATGTCACTGCACCAGCTGGCCTCAGGACCCCAGTCCCTGCACTAGTTCCCTTGTGGCCTTGTCCTTAAGGCCCTGGTCCATGTTGAGGCTCAACTAGGAACCCTAACAGGGACCCTCCCATGGGGCTTGACTCAGAAGTGCCTGGGTCCCTCTGTGACTTCCCATTCAGTCCCTCCAACCTGGAGGGTACCTCCCTGGGTTTGTGCCCTGGACAGGGCCCCTCTCTGGCAAACCTGGAACTAACTGGGGCTCTCCCGCCCCACCCTGCCCCTGCCTGTCCCCCACTCCACACAAGACCTCCAGGAAGAACACAGCTGCCCCAGGTTCTGGGGTTGCTTTAAGAAATTCATTCCTACCCTGGGGGGCAGTGATGGGACTCTCTGGCCCCTGATGTCCCTCTTCAGGCTCCTCTGCCTCAGTGTCCTGGGCCTGGCTACCTGCAGGCCCGGAATCCAAGCCCTCGGTGCTGGGCTGGGTCTCTTCCTCCCCGAGACCTGCAGTTCCTGAGGCCTCCTCAGAGGCAGCCCCTGCTTCTTCTGAGCTGGCTCCATCGCCGCTGTCTTCCCCGGAATCTTCTTCGGATGGGTCTCCCTCTTCTTCCTCACTTCCACCTTCCTCATCGCCCTCTTCTTCAGAGGAGGCCTCACCCCCCTCGTCCTGGCGCATCACTGGCACCTGGCCCTCTGGGGGGCGGTCCTGCTCCATCCCCTCTTCCTCAGAGTGCTTGGTGCCCCCAGGTTCAGTGCCGGCCTCTGCAGCAGCTGGGCCAGCCTCCTGGCTGGGGCTGGGCTTCCCCTGGTCCTCAGCGCCCTCCCTGGCTTCCAGGCTTTCTCCCACAGACACGGTGTCCGGGCCTCCATCTACCTCTGCGGGGCCCTGGTGAGGCCCAGGGCCACCTTTGCCTTCTGTCTCCAGGGTGTGGACCTGGTGCTGGTCCTCAGCTCTCTCTCTGGCTTCTGTGTCCAAGTCGGCCTTTGGCTCTTCTCCCGCAGATGCACCGTCAGGAGTTCCATCTAGCTCCGTAGGCCCGTGGTCAGGCCCAGGGCTGCCTTTGCCTTCTCCCTCCAGGGTGTGGATCTGTTCGTCCTCTGAGCTAGGGGCGATCCCCAAGGCTTCAGGCTCGGCCGTCTCTGCAGCTGCTCCTTGCACAGGGCTGTCCCCTAGTACCCCTTCCGCTTCCTTGGGGACCTTGCCACCCCCAGCCTGCCCTTGCGTCTCCCCGCTGGCAGCTCCCTCCGAGGGGAGCCCGAGCCCAGCTGCCTCCTCCCCCGGTCCCTCTCCCGAACTGAGCTCTTGCCTCTCCTCTTGCAAGGACCCCTCGTCCCCTCCTGGAGGAAGGGCGCTTGCTGCTGCTGGGCCCTGCTCTTCCCCGGGCCCTGTGGCGTCCCCGGGTGGGGCTGACTCTGTGGCTGAGGCATTGGGGAGGCTGGCTTCCGGCTCGGAGCCTGGGCCGGGGGCAGCTGGAGGGGCCCCGGCGGTGGTGCGCTCCGCACTCTCGGCCTCCCTGCCGTCTGGGTAGTGAAGGAGCAGGTTCTCGTCTCGCGGGGCCGCATCTGCATACAGAGCCCTTTCTTTCTCCTCTAGACTTGCGTCTCCAGCAGAGAAATGATTCTCCAACAAATTGCCAACATCTTCTGTGCCACCCGAAGCAGGGACTTGCAGTTCTAAATGATTAGAACATGATTGGTCAGTTTCAAAGGGTTGGCACTGGTTTTGTGTCTCAAAAGAGTCTATGTTAATCTAGCTCCCCTCTTCCGGGAGAGCCTTGTGGGCCTGGTGTGCAGGGTTGCACCTACGCCCGGGGTCTCCATGACTACCCTGTGTGTAGCAGGCACAGCAGGTGTTATCCTGCCTCCCTCCCAAGTGGTGGAAACTGTGGATCAGGGGGTTAAAGGACAGACCTGCTGTCTATCAAGAAAGGACTTGGTGGTCACACTGATTCGAGAGCCCAAAAAAACCCTGACCCTGACCTGAGACTTCCTGCCTAGGTCCTGACCACTGTACAGGGTGGAAACTTGGGCAAACCCTCCAGTCCTTCCTCAACCTTGCTGATGGGCACGTGCAGCCCAGCTCACCAGAGACACATCCAAGGGAGGACTTCATGACTCTCATTAACCAGCGTGCTTTTTATACAGCTATCAGCAAAGCAGTGAAAACAGGTGTCTCTAGGCCAGATAATCTCAGGTTACAAGGCAAAGTACTTAGGGGATTACTTGTGGCTCTCATCCTTATTAAGCCACATCCAACCCTTTCCCCTTAAGGGCAGGCATTTGCTGGCCTGGCTACGGTAGATTAGAGGGGACCGGCCTGCGCAGGAGATATCCAAAACAGGCAGGGCCTGGGCTTCCCGGTGGCCTCAGCCAACCCCTTCCTAGGGGATCCCCTTCTAAGGGCTGTGCGTCACCCGGAGAGTTGAGGGCATGGGAAGAGCAAAGCAGGAGAGCAGGGCGGGCCCAGTCTGTGCCAGAGACCTCTACTGAGGGTCAAGTTTAGAACTGCTGGAAAATGGGGTGGGAGGGTTGCCAGGTTGCAAGCTGGGATCTGTTTTGAGGAGGAGGCGGATGAGTGGGCCACAGGTGCCCCGCTGTGAGGGGGCAGAAACAGCACGAGTCTCCTGTTTGTGCCCTCCTCTCCTCCCCTGCACACATCTCTTAGGCCACACCTAGAGCTCCCATCTCTTACTCAGAAAGCTGGGACAACCTCCAGGGATTAGGAATGAGTAGTTCCTCATTAGACCCCATAGACAGCCAACCTCCTATCAAAATCAAAAGGACAGGAAGCTTCGCACCTCTGATTATCAAGGAGCCCATGTGTGGACGCAGAAAACTTCCCCTCCCAGCCTTGATCTCAGGGCTTGATTAGTAGAAGTCTTCGATCTGCCCTAGACACATGGTCACCAGGTAGACATGGCCACCTGGTGGACCCAGAACTGCCCATTCCTGGGGCCAGGTTTCCCACACCATGATGTGTTGGGGGGGGCACTAGGGCCCCCTTGCCATGGGGACCTCAGCCTCTGCCTGCACGAGCCCTCCCCTGAGGGTCATGCTCTGGGCTGCTCCTGACTCCTTACAGATTTGCAGGAACCAAGTCCTAGTTCTGTGTTCCCAGGACCTGGGACGCTGCCTGACCCACAGGAAAATGAGATGCTTGGTTACAGTTGGTAGAGCTCCTGACCCCTTAGTTGAAGGCGGCATGAGGAGTTAGACATTACTCACTTACGTTTTCTTTCATTACCACCTAAACACCTTCCTGTAAGTCCTACACGTCCACCCATGGGGAAAAGTCTATGGCAGGAACTTGGTTTAACCCAAGGAGACTGAGAGTGCTCCGAGCAGAAGGACAGATCCATCACGTAGCCTGTAAGATTTATCCACAGGTGTGCTTATTATCCTGGGTAATGCACCTGCATTTTACATGTAAACACGATCTTTAACTTCATCTCACTGAATTGATTTAATCTTAGTTGCTTCTGTAAAGCAAGTATTGCTCTATTACTCATACCCCATTTTACATGTGACTGGCTTCAGCCATTGGACTTCAAAGCTGAAAAGGAGACTGTCAGCCTTTGAACTTATCCCCACACCCTCACTCAAAGCACAGGTGGAGGAACAGCAGCCTCAGTGTCCCCTGGGAGCCAGCAGAGTGGGCCTGGGCCCAGGCCTGAGGCCATACCCACGGATCAGAATATGCATTTAACAAAACGCCCAGTGGAGTCATTGTACATGCCAGTCTGGGAGGCGCTGGTCCACACCACCACTAAACTGCCTCTCCCCCCGCCCTCCGCAGTGGTTCTGATGAAAATCGACTTGCAGGGTGGGGAATGGCCCACCCACAGGACACGTAGGGCCCATACAATCACATGGTCTGGCCCTGCCAAGGTAACCACAGGCAGGACTTGAAATCCAAGAAATCTATAGCAGGCTAATTTTTAAGTTCATAATTTTGAATGGCCCATGAATGATATTATAAATATACAAATGGCCCTTGGCAGAAAAAAGATCCCTGCCCCTAGATAGCCCCAGCATGGGGACTTATTGACTGTGACAGGCAATTCGAAAGCTCAAAGGTAATTCCAGTGTGCAAAGGTGCAAAGCAGTGCAACCACTAAACCAAATAACCCGGACCCCAAGACCCCTCCTCACTGGAAGGTGCCCACCGAGGGCTCCCAGAGCTGGCGTCTGCCCTTGGAAAAGCAGTGGATAAGGCTGCTCACTTTCCAAAGATCCCTGTTCACCTCTAATCATGTGATGGTGATGACAATGGTGATGGTGGTGGTGGTGGTGATACAGAGCTCAAGAAACTCTAGGTCTGACCCACTGTAGGATTTGATATTCTCAACAGACCATCGTTCCCCACTGAGGGCAAGACGGCCACACAGTCCCAATGGGGGGTGAGAACTCCAAACAGTGGGGACTTGCTGTGACCTTCACACTGCTGGACAGGGAGCTGAGCATGTGCGTGTGGTTGAACATGTTTATATCCACATCCTTCCCTGGTTATCAGAACCTAGTGCCAAGCTGCCCCAACCTGCTAAATAATTTGGAGTGAAAAAGACTGAGGGTGATGGCTTCGTGCCCTGTGATCTTCCTTCCCAGGCTAAAAATAACTTCCCTGACAGAAAGTCTCTCAATGAGGCAAGCTGTCCCTTTCGGCCCCCAAAACTGAACCCTGGGAAGCAGCTGACCACTGGGCCTCGGTCTCCTCTAGGTAGCACAGCAGAGACTCAAGAGCTCAAGAGCCCGAGATGACACTCAACTCAGCTGCACAAAACCAAAGCGCGATGTCTTTCCCTCTCTCCCTAACCCCTCTGGCTTCTTGTGGAAGCCCATTACTGGCCCCTGGAACAGGGGGCATGGGGAAGGCTCAGAGGACCCCAAGCACCCTGGATGGGTTGAGTGAGCCTTGGTCCATCCAAGAACATGAAGTACCATACGTGTGTGCTGTGGCCAAGTCAGTCACCCCAGCCCCGGACAGGCCTGGGCACTGACGTCAAGGCATACAAATAGCAGGCCTGCAGCTCAGCCCCAAACATGGAAGGCCTGAGTGCCTCTCTCAGCCCAGGGGGGCACAGCATAAGCCCGCCCTGCTTCTCTCCAAATCGCCATCTGCCATCCGCCTTTCCTGGGGAGCCATCCCTTCAGCTACTCCCAACAGCCCCCCAGACTCAGCCCCAGTCCCAGGCTCTCCCCTCCCTCCACCTCCAACCAAACACTCTGACGTTTTTTCCTTCAGCTCCTGACTGGTCCAGAGCACTTTCACATGGACTCAGAAGATTGTGGGGTTGCCAAGAGCCCTGGTGAGGCCAACTGTAAAGGAGGAAGCTCTGGCCAAGAGCTCTAGAAACCTGCCCACGGCCAGGGTCACACTGGGACAGGACCCAGGTCCATTGTCCTCAGTCCAGAATTCTTTCTGCTCCTGAGGAGTTCACAAACCACATCCCAAAAAGTGTCAGGGTCCCATAGAAGCAACTACAGGGGCGAGGGAAGACGACATAGCTGGGGCCTGGCACATGATGTACACAGCAGGTCAGCCGGCCACCCTGTGTCCCCTGTGTCACTGCCCTCCTTCAGCCTGTCTGCCCCGTGTTTGAGGGGGAAAGAATTGGAAGGAGATTAACAACCACTGCTCCCTTCCTCTCTCCCTGCATCTTCCCTAAAACCTCTTCCTGTCAATCATTCTCTCCAACATCCAGCCACCCTCAAGGCGTCTTTTCACTTTGTCGAGCCACAGGAGCGAGTCCCTGAGCTAGATGGCTTCCCACCCTCGTGCAGGACTCCGTGTTCATGTAGTTTCATGGACATGTTCCTCCCGGCCCTCCCAGCAGCTCTGAAGCAGAGAAAGCAAGCACTGCTAACCTCTTGTGAAGCGAGAAAGGCTCAGCAAGTGAAGCCATTTGCTGCGTCAGTCACTCGGAGAATGGGCTAGAACCAGGCCAAGAAAGAGCGGAGCTCCCTGGCCAGGGCGGGGTGGGACCCAGGGCCCACAGAGCTTTGGGGGCACAGATGCCCCGTCCCTGGGTCAGGTCAGAGTGACTCTGGAACACCAACTTCTAAGAACCTCTTCTCTGAGCAAGCCAAACCCCAACATCAGGGGCCAGGGAGTCTATCCCAAAACTGAAACTAGACACCAGAAGACAGGTCAGAAACCAAGATCTCTTGTGTTGTGGCCTGGAGCCCGCTCCAGAGCACCTGCACTCCACCCATCCAGGCCTCCTCAGACAAGGATCTGTCAAGGTGGTTCTTCCACTGGAGTTCTCATCCATTTAAACCGAAACTGTTGAGTGCTGAGTCACACGAACCTCAAATATTCAGGGCCGGCGCTGTGGCATAGTGGGTAAAGTTACCACCCGCAGTGCTGGCATCCCATTTGAGCGACAGTTTGAGTCCTGGCTGCTCCGCTTCTGATCCAGCTCTCTGCTATGGCTTGAGAAAGCAGTAGAAGATGGCCCAAGTCCTTGGGCCCCTGCACCTGTGTGGGAGACCTAGAAGAAGATCTTGGCTCCTGGCTTTGTATCGGCCCAACTCCGACCACTGCAGACATCTGGCGAGTGAACCAGCAGATGGAAGACCTCTCTCTCTCCAATTTCTCTGTAATTCTGCCTTTCAAATAAATGAATAAATCTTAAAAAAAAAAAAAAGAAATACTCACACAGTTACGTGAAGGA